CAGTTTGAAGTCTCCTTATACAGCGGACGGGAGGAAGAAAAAGAAAGCCGATGAGCTCTTATCTAAGCCGCCAACTAAAGCAGATCTTTTGGAATTTAAGAGCTTCATCGTAAAAGCAATTAAAGATGACCGCCCTGTACAATGCTACCTCGCCCAGTACAAGGAGATTCAGGATTTTGTGAAAACGTTCTGGACTGACCTTATCACTCCAGGTTTTTGGGTAGCGGATACTGTAAGTTGCATTAACCTTTCATTCTTCGTACACAAACAATGCTTGTATCTTTCATTTTCTAATAACATATTACTTTTGTTTGTTAACTAGCATCTGAGTGAGTACCTTTACGTCCTGAGAAGACGTTTATGCAATGACGATGGAGACTCATGCATTGCGCCTTTTGAATTCAACAATTATGTGAACTCTTATGCGCATGACCCAGAATGGCCTATTTTGTCTGGATCCCTTGAAAAGATTGTGGATGGTACATACAGCGAGGGGCCGGAAGCATTTAAAACCAAATCCTGGAAAAAGAACACTACGTACGTATATTATTTGAAAGGCACGAGTTCACATTGGTTCTGTATCAAGGCTGACTTTGAGAGGTGCCGCCTCGTCGTGCTTGACTCCCTTAAGAGGATAACTTCGATTGAGACGATGGCTAGTTTGCTGATAGATGATCTTAGAGGGTTTAAAGGCATTGCTGGAATTAGAGAAATCGGCAAGCAGGGATATGCCGATTGGGAAATTGAATACTGCACAGTACCCGAACAGATTGATTGTGTTTGCGGCATCTTCGCGGTAAAAATGTTAGAGTTGGGAGCACAACATCAGGATTTTAAATCTTTGGAGAATATGACAAAAGAAAAGATGGTCAACATGCGTTTAGAAATTGCTTACTACATATGCAAGGAGTACCATTGTAGAAACAAAAAATAAATTCTGTGGTTAAAGAGCGGTCAAATCAGCTTTTATTACTCTCGTTAATTTCTAAGGTCTCAGGAAGTTAAATGAGATGTAATTTTGTTCATTAATAATAATGATGATGATGATGATAATGATAATGATGATGATGATGATAATAATAATAATAATAATAGAGAGGGCCGTTGAGATCAACAAATATCCAAAATGAATAACTTCGACTGTCCCGACTAATATTTGACCACATTTCGGATGGACTTTATACAATAATTAGTTAAAAATTAAAATGGAAGAAGATATGTGTGGGCGGATTGCATTCAATTCGGGTAGATAAAGAGCAGTCAAATCAGCTTTTATTACTCTCGTTAATTTCTAAGAGCTCAGGAAGTTAAATGAGATGTAATTTCGTTCATTAATAATAATGATGATGATGATGATGATAATGATGATAATAATAATAATAGAGAGGGCCGTTGAGATCAACAAATATCCAAAATGAATAACTTCGACTGTCCCGACTAATATTTGACCACATTTCGGATGGACTTTATACAGTAATTAGTTAAAAATTAAAATGGAAGAAGATATGTGTGGGCGGTTTGCATTCAATTGGGGTAGATAAAGAGCGGTCAAATCAGCTTTTATTACTCTCGTTAATTTCTAAGAGCTCAGGAAGTTAAATGAGATGTAATTTCGTTCATTAATAATGATGATGATGATGATGATGATGATGATAATGATAATGATGATGATAATAATAATAATAATAGAGAGGGCCGTTGAGATCAACAAATATCCAAAATGAATAACTTCGACTGTCCCGACTAATATTTGACCACATTTCGGATGGACTTTATTACCCTTATTACATGGATCACATGATTGCATGGAATTGAATGGAGTT